CAGGGATTGATCAACGCTGAGTGTTCTATCTTTTTTATGACCAAAACACGAAACCTCTCTCTTTTGTGTCATGAACTCGATTGTCACAAAGCAGGGTGATACGTTCCCTCCTACGGCATCATCAACGCGCCCATCTATCTTTCTCTCAACAGCGCTTTATCCTACAGATTCAGGGCTATTAATAATCATACGTCAACAGGATTTAAGAGGGTGATTGTCTGAAAAGGTAAGTGGCAATCCGAGTCTATGATACAAAAACAACAAATTATATTTCCTGCTCGCATCTCAGCATTTTTATGATTATTAGAGTAGAGCTAATTTGAGCCCAGTAATGCTGAGTGATGTGCAAAATATGTTAGCAGGGACTCGCACCCGCATTTTACCCTATGCAGGAACGCGTGCTCTAACCCGTTGCACTACTAACGCCTGTTTCGGCATCACTCTTACTACAAGTGTTAATTTACTCTTCCACTAAGACATTGGTCCTCCAATCTTAAAGTTGTTCGGCTCAGTCTTCATACACAGCTGTTACAAAACCACATTCTTAACAAATGGAAAGTCGATTTTGCATATTTTATCAACAATGTGCACTAAAAGTCCGCCCCTCATGTAGTGAACGTGTTCAAAGTCCGTAAGACGGTCAAAAACCAGAGTCCTCAAATTTATGGTACTAAGGTGTAATCTGAAAATTGAGCTGCATCTCATCTCTGAACACGCTGTTTTTGTGGCTTCTAAATTGATTAGTGATTGACTCGCACGAGATGTTGGTTGACAAAGTCCATTAGAAGTTGCTTCGGAGATCGCTGTTTTGAGTATAACAACTTTTTTGGAAAGCTTGAGCACTTAAGCTCTTGTTAGATGATTACCTTAAGACTACTTGTAAAGATAGTGTTTTGGGCATCGTTGAAACAAATGCTGGCATGATTAAAATTGGATTCACGAAGCTTTGACTCGAAGGCTTTAGTGGCATCAAAAGCAGAAGATATTGACACATTGGCAAAACGTCTAGTTTCTCGTGGGCGCCCTTAGGACAACTCCTAGCGCTTTGCCCTGCTTGCTCGTCACTCTCATGAAAGGTTGCCGAACCACAATGTTCTTTGAAATGCAAATGCAACCATTTCCGTTATGTAACTAGCTTTTTTCCGCATTCCGAAAGAATTTCTAAGCCTTTGTTTTGTCATTTGTATGCTCCTAGTTACCTGATGCATCCTTTGATGTTTTCAGTGCTCAAACAACTTATTGTTTATGTAAGTTCTAATAGAGTTGGAAAGAAAGTTCTGGGGCACTTCAATAAGCATGAGATATCTACCATGCACAGGAATATTACAGTTTCCAATGCGGAATTTTTCCACTGAAAGCCTAGATATTATTCGTCTTCACTTTCACTTTATTACAACCCTCCGCCATGTCAATCGATGCAGTCGAAGTTGGTGTTTTATTGCGTTTTTATTGGAGAAAGGGTCTTTCACAGCGAGCTGCAGTCGATGAAATCAAGTAAGTCGAAGAAGAAGGCACAACAAGCAAATCTGCTGCTAGACGTTAATTTCAACGCTTCTCAGTACCGGAGATCTTGACCTTTCAAATTTTTCAATTTGACTTCGAAGACAAGCTTTGCTTAGGACGTTCATTAGAGTTAAACAAAAATGAAGTTGAAGAAGCATGTCAAGCGTTCTTTGATTTGAAGTTAGAAGAGAGGGCACAGCAAGCAAATTTGCTGCGAGACGCTGGTTTCCTCGTTTCTCAGTAGATCGCGACCTCGAAGATAGGCCTCGCTCAGGACGTACATTAAAGTTGAAAACGATGAAATCGAAGAAACATTTCAAGAGTTCTTTGATTCAAAGTTAAAGGAACGGTACCTCCACCAGAATCGAAGTTTATATAGGAACGATCTCAGAAAGTCGTAGAAAGCAATGGCCTTTACTTCGGAGAATAATTTTTACTATTTTTGTGTGATATTCATGCATAAATTTCCAATTTTACACAAGTGCCTCAAAACTTTCTTTTCAACCTAGTTACATCGTACACTATGCAGTCTACAACTGTCATAATTCAATGAAGTTCTATAGGTTGTACAACAAATATTATGATATTACTTCGTTCTGATTTCCTAGTTTTGACTTTCCCTTATTCCATGCAATTTTCAAATATCATCAATGCTATTGAAAATTAGAAAATAGCAATTTGCTTGCCAAAAACGGTGCTGCATTCTGCATTCGATGCCAGGTAACGAAAGTAGAGGTATTTCTGTACTTTATCATTGGCCACCCTCTCAAAACCACACATAATCATCAACAACAACAGTTTTTCACCAAAAATGGAAAATAAATGGCACACCGCGACTTCTTAGAATATTGATGTCAGTATGGAATTGTTATGCAATGGCCAGCTTTTGCATTACAAACTATTTTCTTAGAATCGCCATTCTATTCCTTGGCTTACGAAATAGGAAAAGTGCTTGGAATACGCTTCAAGAGCTTTCAATATTGGTTCTTAAAGCCGTAACTGCACCTGTGATTACATCTTAAAAAGTTGTAAATATGACAAGAAGACATTCCTCACTGGAATAGCCGTGTGAGGTCGTACTAGCCACTATGTTGCATTATACTATTTCCGTAGAGATGTCTCGAAATGATAATAAATTGAAACAATAATCCGCAAAGTGTCACAAACATCACAGTGAACTTGATTACTGTAATTCTGGCCCTCTATAATATTCTTGAGTCTCTCAATTTCATTTCGGAGCTCGGAGACGACAGCAAAGTGTAGATTTCGACGAAGCAGTTCGCCAATCGAAGCTGATTAATTACTAAATTTATAGTGGTCTCAATGTATGAGCGGTACATGGGGTTGATAAGCAAAAAAAGGCAAGCATAGAGCAGTACTTCATGAAGGTGCCCTCATAGAATCGCTGTATGATTTAGAGAGTCAGACAAATCAAGCCTGCGAGGTCTGTTAAGTCGCTAATAGACTTGCCTGAGAGCAGAGAAACACCGTTTTCAATGTTAGGTGAACTCTTCAGCGGTGTACTCCAGTAGGACTGATAAACATCGAAAGCTTTACTGTTTTTCCGAAAATATATTAGACGTGCTACATATATATATATATATATATATATATATATATATATGTATATATATATATATATACGTATATATAGGTCAAAACAAAGAGTAATTTTTCTGCAAATTAGTAGCTATGAGTATACGAAGACGCGAGTTGTTTGAAATAATTAACTCAAGGTACAACACTAAAACCTTACCATAACGAAAAGGCCTTGTACGAGTATACGGTGTTCCATGCATTTCCAAAACGAGTGAGATACACTTCACATTTCTTTTCACTATCACCTACCAGTGATACTGATATCGATTAAGTTTCTTTCGCCGTACACTTCAACCACAAATAGCATCCATATGACTTGTGGAAAAGGTTATTGAGCGGCCGATGCTACCGGCATTGGTGTGAAATATCCTTGGCATGGCAAAAATAATGCATAAAGAAGTTCTAGTTATCTTCATAATACTAAATCAGAAATCAGTCTTAACATCATCACGTTTGTCATAACGGGTATATAAGATTTGCATATCACTAACCTCAAAATTGATCACCACCATTTCATGGCTTTGAATTTATGGCTAAGTTCCACCGAAAAGTTGCTGCCTGGATCTGCAAGGTGACTTTAAGCTCTGCTCGCTAAGAGGTAAAATGTTGGTGCACTGATATGCTTGAGTGGCAAGAGCTAAAGCGTTCGGGCATGACTAATTCTCAGGGATTAATCGCTTATTCCAATAAGTCTCGTAAAAGTGCTCACATGGCATATAAAAAATTTTCTGAAAGTTTGGTATGTATCGACCATTACGAATTCAGGAGCAAGTAGTCAATATTAAACGAATAGAGGATTTTGCTTGCTTTGATCGAAACGTGCATTGTGCGACGCCTCTACTCAGTGCTACATCCACACTACGCTTGAACTGTATATTCATATGATATACACTTCAAATGACTCGATGTGACAGCTGACAATCAATTATGGAAAGAAAAGAAAACTACCGTGTTTGTGACACTACCAACTATGGTTCTGAAGATGGCTACGTTGCCGAAAAATCTGCCACAATAAACGTGAACGATATTTTTGATATAAAAATTCCTGTTTGAGTTATCGTGGCACGCCATTTTGAATTCTTTCCTTCATAGCATGGTTATCCATCACGAGTTTGTAAAATAAAAAAACTTGCCAGCCACAAATTAATTGTAAGTGCCCCTATACGGATAAATTTACGTGCGTTCGGCTTCAATCCATATCTAATGATTGTCGGTTGGTTTTCTTGTATATAGTACTTGCACACAAGAATTCCTTCAAAATCACATTTGATCTCGTATACTTCTTGAATATTACATGTAACAATGTAGACCATTTAATGTCATCGATATCCTTGAAAACGGAAAGACCCAGTGACTGATTCTTGTTCAACCAAAAGATTGGCCGCTTTATTTGAAAGCTTTCAAGTAAGGTCTGAAAGATATACGATTGAAAAACCACTTAGAATTCTTTTCATTTAAGAGCTTTTAGCGTTGGATGATGTTATGGACATACCCGATGATGTGAAGTGATATACAAAACTTTTATGCCATGTGGGACTCGATCCCGTACCCGCCCTATGCGGAAGCGCGCGCTCTAACCAGTTGCACTACCGGCACCTGTTTTGCTACCACTCTTTCTATCACGCTCCAACGCATCTATGAGTCACCAACCAACCGCCAACGGTTTGGCCTAAGTAGACGGTGTCGGCATCGAACCTAGTCTACATCATTGAGTATATCTATAACATATCTCTGATAAAAGCGGCTAAATAGAAGAAATTTCTTTTAATATCCAACACCCAATTTCTGTCAGCGTGACTAGGTTCAAAGTCAATATTGACTACCTGGACCAGACTGCTTGCGCTTGGTTGCTGACAGATAGATGCGTTGTAGCGTAGAAATAGTGTTGAGAAAAACAGGCGTCGGTAGTGCAACGGGTTAGAGCAGACGCTCCTGGATAGGGTGAAATGCGGGTTTGAGTCCCGCCTGACGCAAAAATTCTGCACCTCACTCCACTCTACTGGAAAACATGCGACTGTTCTTTCAACAAACAAGTATATTCTGAAACATAGGTAAATTCAATAGATGCTTTAACTGAGGTCACAAATTCTAAGGAGAAAGTTCGGTACAAAAACCGTTGGTACTTCTCCGTTAACTGCTCTCCGTTTCGACCTTTTGAAAAAAAACGTATCTTTGGTCATTTCTCAATGTTCAAAGAATCGTTCGATATCACAAATGAGAAGAGTCTTAATGGCATATTTCGTTCGCAACTTTCCCAAATTTTGTTCACCCTGCCCACAAACGTATATTTCTTCTCATGGAATTCATTGTCTTTTACGTCATTGGTTCGCGAGCAGTAGAAGCATTTTGAAAATCGAATATGAACACCTGAACTTTGCAAAATTTTTATTCAGCAGTGTGTCATGGCGTTTTAAACATATTTCAATCAATCAACGCCAACATGGGCTAACCAGATGACCGGTCGACGATGGTATCTCACAGCTGCGTTAACTCCTTATATCGACGAAACTCTTCTAGCAGATCGGTGGCAGTATAGTACCCGTTCCTGGTATGAGTGAAACGAGGGGTCAACTGTCGCACCTGGTCAGATGTTTTCAAAGATCACTCGGTATCATGTACTTACAATCATAATGTTGCTGTAAGAGCGATGAACATACGAAATTTTGTAAACAAAGTTTCAATTATGAGTTTGGAAAATTGTATTAAATCATGCGATTGTTTGATTATTTTAGTTTCGGATCTTATGCTTATTTTCCTTTTGCACCGCTTTCAAATAGACTAAACAAACAAACGTTCTTCAACTTTGATATTATTTCAAACTTCAGTGTTGATTATTCGCTGAGTCCTTTCAAAATGCGACATATAAGGATTTTGCCAATGGTAATTTCATCCGAGCATCGGATTTCTAAGGAGAACATTAGACCAAAGTTTCCTCGGAACCAGAAGTAAACAACATATTAGTTGTCTTGACGATATAAATAAAAACCGTTTGAAGCTAGTCAGTCCGCTCATCACTGTGCGATCTTTAATGTTCCAGTGACTATTCGTACGTGTGGAGTACGCATGGGAAAGTCATTAACCGATTTCTCTGAAAAGCGAGGAAAAGACTTGACCTATTCGGCTATTGACTTCGTTGTATAGGATCGATTCGCAACATAGAAAATATTCTCCGTGCAATACCAGATGTGAAGAAGGGCCATGTACTACTTGTGTTTAACTGGAACTTCAGAGTAAAGATATAATTTTTCAAAGTGGCACGTCTATCACAGCTTCAAACTTGGGTATCTAGGCCTTTGTGTTAATAAAATTAACCAACCATGAAGCAGTGAAATCAATAAACTACACCAAACGGCATGTACAGCAACATGTTCAATAAAAACTGCCAGTGTACATAGGGATTTCCAATTATAATAGCGTGAACGCTTTTGCCATAGTAGTATGCAGGACGAGATATTACAACCGTAATAAATTCCAAAAAAAGCTTGAGCTAAAAGAGAGCTTGATCCATGTGTACCACTATAGGCCAGGAGCTAATTAAGCTAATTCAATTGGAAGCCAAATCAGAAGTTCATACCAGAGTGGTGCAGAAGTGATTGCGGCATTAAGCCATGAAATCCCTAGTGACCACAAACTACTTTTCTATCAGAGAAAGCCGAATCAGGCGTTAACACGTCGGCAACGACGTTGAAATCCAGCTCGTCGTGCCCCAGGCCGCCACATACGCGGCGGCAATAATGACATTGGGTAATTTCCGAATGAAGTATGGATATTTATCGTTACTAAGAAAATTTTCATCCGCAGCAAGTGATTGAATATGATAGAATAGACGTCTATGAAACTTATTATGGTAGGAACAATGGCAATATTTCCTCCTAAAGCTTCGAATCTTAGGGGAAAAGGCAGGAACGTGGTACAAGATGATCTTTCAAACTGTTAGTGAACATCATTGTGTTATAGTATATATTCACTCATATTTTTGTCATATTCATCAACAACAACTCATCGTCACATAAAACCACAAATAAATTTCAAATAAATGAAAAGAAAATGAATGAATGAACATAAAATTTCTTATGCGCCTAGGAACAAGTGGTGAGTCATGACACTAAGAGCACTAATTGCTGTACCCTACGTATTTCTTTCCAGTAGATTTCTCTTAAGACAGTTTTTTGTGCCTCTTCCAGTTCCCATTTCCACGTTTCACCTCCAAAAGATCATGCAGGTGTTTTTACAAAGTTCATCAGCACATGAGAGACATGGGCCGCCCTGTCCTTTCGATGACGGAATAGTCGTATAAGAAATATACATAATTCTTTTGCATATACGTATGTCTGCCACAAAACATGTGGTATATTGCCATGGAAATTGTTATACATTCTATGCAAGATATCCTACATATACAGAATTCATAGCAGACTATCGTAATGCCGATAATCAGAGGTGTTGTACGGAACTTTGCCTAATAAATTTGGCATTGCTCGGGCGTGAGATTCCAGTGGAATTTCATGAACTGTTTATGAAGTTTATGAAGGGCGTTTGAGAGTTATTATTGAGCAGACATGGTCATATGATCACAGCAGTCATATGATTATTACTTACGCAAATCGAAAATTCGTGTCCGTCCTCACATTTACAGGGCACGAGAAATTTTTGCTACAGATCTTTCGACCGTAAAATCGTCGGCGCCAAGTGAGCCTTTTCTCTGCAAATGGAATTATTCGAAGAGCCTCAGCGGTTTCATGCACTGACGTTTTGACTCTCCTCTCATGAATATTGAAATGTATGCAAAGCTTCGAGCTTCAGGCGGAAGTTGAACAATCGTCTTACTCTTTTCAGGTGCGTGGTAATCACTGCAATATTGGTGTTCTGTCCTGCTATCAATCTTGGCTCGTTGAACACAAATCAAATTTTAAGGGAAATCGCCCTTTCAAAGGGCAGGTACGGTAGCGTTAATGAGGTCGAGAGGCTTTCCTTTTTTTCGTCAGCACTGCTAGCGCCTTATTCTATGACAGCTCATTCAATTATGCCTCATTTTTTCCTCAGCACTGCTAGCGCCCTATTCTATGACAGCTTATTCAGTTATGCCTTATTTTTTCCTCAGTACTGCTAGCGCCTTATTCTATGACAGCTCATTTAATTATGCCATTGTAAGCTCAGCATGCGGTATTTCAAGATTTGTGTCTATCTCACAACCAGCTATGCTTCTAACTTAGTGTCTTGCTATGACAACTGTTACAAAATTCTCTTACATTAGCAAATGAATGTCATTTCGATTTAAAGCTTCTATCTGATTTGAAAATCATGTTTGCCAATGGTTTGAGAGAATTTTTGTCTATTTATTTATTTACACTGGCTAATAGAGAAAAGAGTGGAATTAGGTTTCAGTTGCTTCTCAACTAAGAAGAAGTTCTGAGATCGCAAGTGAAAATCGGGGACAAAGAATAGCCAAATTCTTGCAGCAAAGCTTAGACTCGCGGAGAGTATCGTAATACGGTGAGCTATCTAATTTTACACCTTTCTGTTCCAGTTTTTGTCCTGCACTTATTCGTATAGTGCGCTTGAATAGCTTTCTGAAACAGCTAATGATCACTGGCACTTTACATTTTAGAGAGCAGTTTCACGCTTGACAAAAGTTTCCATCAAACTTCTAGTAGATATTGAAAAGCCTGAATTTCGCACAACTCAAAGTTACACCTGTATTTCTGAAAGCGCCTATTTTATGGCGTTGTAACACATTGAAGTACTAAAAATAAAATTACTTTCACTTGCGTCGAGCTTTATAGCGCCATAGCTCTCATCTCTGAAGCCAGAGCTTTCTCTTTAGACAAGCGACAAACATTTAATAACATAAATCTCATAAATGAGTGGAATGTTATTCAAAAAAGGCAGTATTAGTAATAATTTTGAAGCGTAAATCTCTACGATTATAACACTGCGCTTTTTTTGCAAAGCCGTCCTGCTGCACTGTAGTGAGAAGATAAGATTAAGCTTCAGCATGTCTCGCAATGGTTGCCAACTATGATTTATATGTGACTTTGGATCAATGTGCTATCGATTAACTGCGCTGACGCGATTCACATATGGAGTAGGATTTTGTTGTCTATTACGGTTTCCTCCATTTTTTCTTTGGTTGACTCCTTATGGAACATGGTAAACAATACGATGAAGTGGGTAGACCTTTTAACACGCGTGCAAAAGACCACCTAATTGGGAAACTCTGAAGCAATCACTGTTGCAAGCATAGAATGCGAAGAGAAAAAGAAGATTTTGAACATAATTCACCAGTCCAGCACACAGAACTGAAAAAACAGAGCGTAAAACTCTTGAAGCATCTCGGATAATTTCCAAAATTCAGAAACGAATCGAAGGATAAGGCGTCTCATGATTGTACAGGTACCTCACATCACAACGTGGTTTGATTTATTCTGATAATTCATCCATACCAATTCATATTACTCATTCGTGAAATACTCCATGCAATTAGTCCTCAATTATAAGTGAAAGACTTGGGGAGGTCTAAGCCGTCGGTATTCAAAAAAAGGTGTTTCCTCTACGAGCGGGATAGTAGAGTGTTTTTCCCTGCTAGGAATATGGAATTGCTTGGCATAGTATATTGCTGAAAGATAATTGCAACCGTGTATCTGCACATCAAAAAAAGAAGCAATAAATAATCTGGTTCCGCAATTATCAAGCTGTCCAACTAAATTACTCAAGTTTATTAACTATAATTTCCATTTTTTCAATGACAAAACGCGAAGTGACACGAAACCACAGCAATGCTGAGCTGTGAGCAAAACTTCAAACGTCATAAATGCGAAAAGGACTTGAATTACGATTAAACTTTCTGAGGCGCACGCATTTTCACTGCATCGTCGAAACTCTCCATTTATCTTCTCTTAGCCGTGTTTTGATCGTAATCGGTGGCTATCAGCAGTCACTCGTCATCGGACTTGATCTTGGGTACGTGAATCAG